AGAAGACAAAAAAAAAAAGTAAGGCTAACCTTTTGCTAGTATTTTTAGTTTAAAAGTAAAAAGAGCTATGAAATTGTTAGATCTTTGATTTTTCATGAAAGTAGCACTTACCTGAAAAACAAGCAGCTGACTTCTTAGTGGAGAGATAGATGATATATAGTTTATCAAAACTTAGATTTACCATAAAAAGTTTTTTTCTGTGATGGTATTTATGTTAACATCAGAGAGTCAACAGTGCATTCAGAGAATAGAGGAAAATGAGACAGTATCAAAAGTGTCTTGCAAAATATTAAGCATACCAAACCATATTTCATATATATTGACAGAATGTTAAAATCAAAGTATATAATCAAAGAGTTTGCAACCACATACCCTTTAGGAGATAATTACAGCCTGTTTCAGAGTAGATTATAAGGTCTGAAATATTGGTAACATTTTAGATGCTCCAAACACATTTATTGTTTTCTATTTGGGAGAAAGAGTGAGCTGTCCAACATTATTTCTGCGAGACATCAGGTTAGAGAAGAAACAAGATGCAATTCTTAGCATGCTAAGTAACTCTTCAAAGATAAATTTGATTCAAAGTTTAGGTTGTAAGGCTGTGTTTGTTTGGAAAAGTTTCTAAATCAAGTGTTTTCTTTATAGACAGCATTCAGGGCATCCGACTTAATAAACTCTGCAGCTGTAGCAGCAGTGCATGTGCTAGGAAAGGCATGGCAGTGACAGCAGCATCACGTCAGCGGGGAAGAATGTCAGCTGCTGTGTGTGGGCTCTGCCCCTTCCCAACTTTCTTTTCATTCGTGATCTTCCTAGAAGTGGTTGTATAGCCTAATACGTGCAGTGACCTGGCTCGTACCAGACACCCACACGTCACAGAATAGGCACTTAGTGTCAGGTATTCACCGGAGAAGAAACACACGCAATGACTAAGGTACCATGGTATTAAATGTTGATTCACAAAGATGACGCATAGATGAAGTAATTGTCAAATTAATCAGATGTAATCCCAGTATTAAATAAAATACTGGGATTTGAAAGGAAGTCATTAGGTTAGCATAAATAGGGATGTTCTCTGAAGGTGTGTAAACAGCTTTTGCATTAGCCTGCACTGGCTTTATTGTTAAGGAATATAAGTACCATCCAGAGCTGGTTTTCCTGTGGGTTGCACGGTGGTCCCTGAGACTCTAGGTGGAAAGCCCTGGTGGAAAATGGATGCACGTTGCTTTTGTGTAGAAAAGAAGTCACAGGTGATAATGTCTACTGCTGTGTTTCTTTTTCCCTGTCTTGATTTAGGTAGGAGCTAAGAGATTCTCCCAAGGTAGGAAAATAGTGTTTTCTTGGTTCACTAAGTACCAGCTTCCTCTGGGAAGGTGGAAGACACTTCTAGGTGCTTTGTTGGCTTGGATCAGCATCTGTAGTTAGGAGGAGCCCTAGTGATGGTGCATGTGTGACTCAGAAGTGAGGGTGACCTGCAAGGACCAGGTGTCTCCAAGAGCACAAGACAGGGGTGCTGGCATTGAAGTCCAGGCTGGGCTGGGACCTCAGCTTTGCCATTTCATGAGCAGTGTGACCCCACACAGGTGGCATCGCCTCTCTAAGCTGTAGCTTTCTCACCTGAAAATGGTTGCTGTGAAAGTTAGTGCAGTAAAGTGGCTTAGCCACTGCCTTGTGCCTGTTGCACAGGAAGTGTTCATTCAATATGAGGCTCCGGCTGGGGATGTGTTCATTACTATCACTGTACCAAGAAAGCCAGCACTGTGTGAGTGACCAGCCCAGCCTGCAGGTCCAGTGCCTGCACAGCCCAGGGCCTGCCTTGGCTCTAGCGCAGCACCCGGTGCATATTGATGCTGCATGTGTGTTGTATAAACCTATATGATGAAAGAAACTCCACTAAAACTCTGGGGAAATGCTGCGTCTAGGAGTCACACAAAAATGTTAAAAAGGAGGATTCCAAGAAGTTTCACAGTTATCAAATGCTGCTCTGCAAGGCAGGTGGGCAGTTATCAGTCCAGCACTGAGCACCTGGTGCTTCAGTTTGTGGTTGGAATACAAATATATTTTAGTATCGGCCCGGGAGCCTTCACAGGAGCACAAAGGCAAATGCTTAGACGATCACAGCATCCCAAACCAGGGCTGCCCGTGACTCCCAGTGCTGACCCCCACTCCTGCAAAGTTATTCATAAGTAATGCTACAGAAAACACCCTGAGACAGTGTGTGGTGCTGTGCCAGTGGGGCCGTAGCTGCAGTGAGATGCACAGCTTCGCAGTAATAGGCAGTCAGCTGCAAATGGGGAGAAGATGGAAGAGTTGAGTTTTTGGTAAGCCTGTGTTTTGTTTGGTTTTGGAGTTGGATGTTTTGCAGGACTGGGAATTAAACCCAAAGAAGTTGATCCCAGCCTATTATTATTATTATTATTATATTTTGAAACAGAGCCTCACTTCGTTGCCTAGCTAACCTTAAACTTGAGATCCCACTGTCTCAGCCTCCCAAGTAGCTAGAACGAATTACAGGGTGTGGAGGTTTAACATACCAACAAAATTATAGAGACGAAGAATCTAGTGTACAGTATTTAGATGCCTAGAAGAAAAAGATTAAGGAAATTTTCAGATGAAATCATTGTAGTTACTGTTATGTCAGTAGCACAGAGATTATTTCCATGCACAGCATGGTGACAGCTGCCAACCCTCACCTGCAGGTTCACAGCTGTGCATTGTGTACACCTGTGGGCCAGAAGGGCAAAGGTTTCCACTTACTCTATGTGAAGAGAAATCACAAAAAGTTAAGAAACAGGAAAATGCATGGAAGAGATAGACTCTCTCTCAAGTAGAAAAAATATTCAGACTAGTATTGTCCAAGGCTTACCATATGATACTTAACAACATGAAGTCTTAAAAAGGCATACTAGCTAGGTAGCAGGGCACCTACCCGTAAGCCCAGCACTCAGGGAGGTTGAGGCAGAATGATCACAAGTTTGAGCCCAGCCTGGGCAACTTAAAGACTTAGCAAGGCCCTGTCTCAAAATTTAAAAAATAAAAAATATTTTTTTTAATGGCCTGTCCATTGTAGTTTAGAACAGAGGTCTTGGGTTTGTTTCCTAGTTCTGAAAACAGAAGCATCTCATGAAAGACCAAGGTCACCCTCTTTCCTGAGCTGGAATCCCTTACTCTTCACTTTGGGTTGATTTCACTTGAGGGGTGAGGACCTGATCCTGAGTAACAGGATACAGACTTCGCAGGAGTGGCCTGTGCCATGCGGGAAGGAGCATAGGGCTTCAAGTTTGGAGGCAGAACCTAGAGGGGAATAATAGGAGACACACCTGTCCTCAGTGGTCAGTAGAGTTTCCATTTCCACAGCACCATTGCCACGGTGACGCACTCCATGCCCTCGCGGCCAGTTAAAGTGTCACTATCAGAAAACAAACAAAAACCTGAAATTAATAGTCACACATTTCTCTGAGCTGTGGCCAGCAGCTGCCTGGCTGTGTTGACTCAGTCTAATGCGCAAAACACGGCAAGACGCCCCTTCTTTCTGACCTTGGAATTACTACAGTGCATCTTCTGTTGTTCTGGAAAAGGTAAAAGAAGCCTGGCAGGCTTTTCTAACTGATACAATTAAACTTCATTAGTCATTATGAAACTATGTGTAAGACAGAAGTAGTGACGTAAAACAAAAACATTAAATCTTTCTAATGTGGCAGGGTAGAGTGCCGGTACATACAGACAGTCCTAGCGAAGAATAGCTGTTCATGTCTGCGGTATAAAAGTGTGACCAACTAGAAAATTGGGCAGGGAATCGACCTCTGGAGACAACCCAAAACTACTGCAAAAGGAGTGTTACTGACCCACACTGCAGATTTATTATCATAGGTTAGAGCAGTGTCAGGGGCCTGGAAACACAGTTAACGCATGTGTGAGGCCCTGGGTTTGGTCCCCAGCACCACGATCAAAAAAATAAAAAAGGCAAATGTCAGGTCAAAGGCACATTATAAATATTTCACTGGTGCGAGAAGAAACTAGTTGACAATTCTGTTTTGAGTTCTTGTATTTTATTTGAAACTAATTAGTAAAACTGAAAGAAGTATTTTCCATAATTACACTGTCTTGGTTTAAAGTAATTTTAAGTTGCAAGAGGGGATTCTACTTTAAAAAAAAAAAAAAAAACCTTTGAACAGTAACGGTTAATTTTAGTCTGAAGCTGCTATGTAACTAAATCTTATTAGGACAGAATTTTTAGGACTTGGAAGAGTACTTTGAAGGCTTCATTATTTCCTTCTGATAAATCACTGTGCAGGAATCAGAAAAAGGGACCTTGCTAATCTACAAGCACAGGTGTGGCTGAGGTGTGGGCTGTGGAAAGGGGCCTTTTCATCTAGAGGGGTGCATCCTCAGGGAGTTGGTGGGTGCAAACCTCACATGCATTGTGCGTCCATCCTCGTGGAGGTGTGGGGACAGACCAACAGTGCAGTTGTTCCTGTGGCTTTTAGCTTTCTGGACAGTTTCAGCTCTGTTTGTGTTTTATTCTGTCTGTGGTTGCAAAACTTGTTTACAGATGTCAGAGGACTTTACTAAGTGGAGTTCCTTTGAAGAGGAAGGCATGTTTGCTCAGCAGCTGTATAAATGTTATCTGAAATTATCCAGAAGGGCCACAGTGTGAGTGCTATTTAGAAACTCATCAACCAGAGGTGACCTGTCATTTCCTTCCGGTGCCGGCCTACCCCTGCAGCCACACCAGCCAGCTCTCCTTAACACTGCTGTGCTCTACCCCTAGCTCAAAGGTGGTTTTATTTTGTTTTATTTAGTATTTTTCTTACTGTCTTAGACTACAGAACCTCCTGCAGGTAGGACCTTCAGGCTCTGCAATAGAGACGTTGGGGCCTCTCGGAGGAAAGAATTCTGTCCCATTTGTGCTTTTATCCCCAGGTGCTCAACACAGTTCCCTGTGGGTAACTGGCACCCAGCATCTGTTCCAGTGAGTAACTTTGTCTTTCTGTGTTTTGCAGATAACCAGAAGACCCTACTCTCTTCAATAAAAGGAGCCATCACATTTATCCCAGAAAACAGAACCAGGGAGGACTGTTGATGGATTTTAAAAGCGCTTGAGAATCCCGAGATACTAACTTGTTCTCCTCTGCTGTATATGTCCGTAGGATAAGGCTGCTTCTGATGCAGCTGAGAAAGATGCAAGCCATCAAAAAGGAGCAGGCATCTTTCGATGGTCCGGGCAGCGCGGACAAGATGATGGTGCTGACCTCGGCCTTACCCGAGGTGCCCGAGGACCTGTCCACGGCCGAAGAGCTGCTTCTGGGTGAAGGAAGTGTGGGCAAAAACAAATCTTCTGCCTGCCGGAGGAAACGGGAATTCATTCCCGACGAGAAGAAGGATGCTATGTACTGGGAGAAGCGGCGGAAAAACAATGAAGCTGCCAAACGTTCTCGGGAAAAGCGCAGACTGAATGACCTGGTTTTAGAGAACAAACTAATTGCACTGGGAGAAGAAAACGCCACTTTAAAAGCTGAACTGCTTTCCCTGAAATTAAAGTTTGGTTTAATTAGTTCCACGGCATATGCTCAGGAGATTCAGAAACTCAATAGCGCCACAGTTGTGTACTTTCAGGACTACCAGCCAGCCAAGGCCACGTCCGCCAGTGCATTCACGGATGAGCATGAACCGGGGCTGGTGGCAGGCAGCTGCATCTCTGTCATCAAGCACTCCCCGCAGAGCTCGGTGTCTGACGTGTCCGAGGCATCCTCAGGGGAGCATACCCGGGAGAGCCCCATGCCGGGCAGCTGCCGAAGTCCCGAGGGCAAGTTCCAGGTCATCAAGCAGGAGCCGGTAGAGCTGGAGTCCTTCCCGCGGGAGCCGAGGGATGACCGGGGCTCCTATGCAGCCTCCATCTACCAGAACTACGTGGGGAGCTCTTTCACCAGCTATTCACATTCTCCACCTCTCCTGCAAGTCACGAGGTCCTCCAGCAGCTCCCCAAGAACCTCTGAGACCGACGACGGGGTGGTGGGGAAGTCCTCTGATGGGGAGGACGAGCAGCAGGTTCCCAAGGGCCCCATCCACTCCCCTGTGGAGCTCAAACGTGTGCACGCCACAGTGGTGAAAGTCCCTGAGGTGAACTCCTCTGCCTTGCCGCACAAGCTCCGGATCAAAGCCAAAGCTATGCAGATCAAAGTGGAAGCCTTTGATAACGAGTTCGAGGCCACACAAAAACTCTCCTCCCCCATTGACATGACATCTAAGAGACACTTTGAACTCGGAAGCCATAACACTGCGAGCGTGGTCCATTCTCCCCTCCCTCCTTTCTCAGTGCAGGTGACAAGCATTCAAGATTGGTCCCTCAAATCGGAACACTGGCACCCAAAAGACCTGAGCAGCAAGACTCAGAACAGTTTCAAAACTGGAGTAGTGGAGATTAAAGACAGTGGGTACAAAGTTTCCGACTCAGAGAACTTGTACTTGAAGCAAGGGATCGCAAACTTGTCCACAGAGGTTGTCTCACTTAAGAGACTTATAGCCACACAGCCAATCTCTGCTTCCAACTCCGGGTAGAGGATGGCTGCGTCAGATCTGGGCATTGAGAAAGATGTCATTTGCAATAGATGAGTACGTTTTGTACGTTTCCACTGGACTGTGATGTCGTTTCACTGTACGTGCACATGTTGTCCCTTCGGCATCCATGTGCACAGATGATGCGGTTAGCTGTGTCCGCGCTCTGCCTTGTGCATAGTCAGATAGTCCACGCAAAGGCTGTACATACCGAACATTATTTTTGTTGTTCTGTTATAAAGTGTGTAAGTTACCAGTATCAATAAAGGATTGGTGACAGACACAGAACTTCTGCTCCTTTGCACTTGATTTGATGGAAAAAGAACAGGCGATTTTAAGTTATAAAAGTAGACATTGAGATACCTACATTTCATTTATCTGGGGTGGTTTCATTCCCATAAAGGAAAACTAAAGTGTACATTCAGCAAATAATTTGTTTTTCCAAGCTATAAACAATATTTTCTTGTATTTGAGACCAGTGTACTAAATTACTGCCTATTGTACAGGTTTCTGTAAAGTTGTTTTCTCTGTATATATTTATTCCTAAGCAGAAAAATCCAAGTTGCCCAGAGCCAGCCTGTCCTTAGTCATCCCCTTGCAAGTGTGACACCCTGATATAGATAGTTGAGTCACTGGCCCACGTAGATGAAAGACTGTTTTGAAATGATGGAGACGTTTTTATATTATTATAAACCTTAGCAGTTCTGGAAGGTCACAGTCCAGACATAAAGCTAAATACTTTTTTCAGAGAACACATGCATTGTCACACATTGACACATGAATATGAATACCTAAAAGAACGTTTTTTAAGGGTTTGTTTACAGGCAGGGATGTAACACAGCAGTAGACCATTTGTCTAGCATGCAGGAGGCCCTGGGTTCAATCCCCAGCCCTGGAAAACAAAACAATAATAAATTGTTCATAAAAAATATAAACAATAGCTCTTTATCTTCGGGCATTCGTTTAAAATTCTAGGAGTTAAGAAAACGGGATGAGAAGGCCTCTGATTGAATGTCCAGGTCACTTTGTGCACTGTGCCGAGAAGGCAGTGTCCCCACCCCCAGGCCAGGAGCTCATGGCCATGCCTGCCCTGAGGAGCAGAGAGGCGCAGCAGGAGACACCTCCCCAAGTCCTGTCTCCACACTGACCGCTTTCCTGTTGGAAGGGAGTGAAGCGCCTGTGAAGTCACAGCACAGGCCCTGACGTCCCTGCTGTTGAGCGCCCTGCGCAGTGGCCCTTGGTGCAGCAGGCCGGATGTGCCCTGCAGTGGCGTCCCACCTGGGGGCTGCAGGCCCTCTAACAGGCCTGCCCGGGCCACACTGCGCCAGCCTTCCTGGGCCTGCAAACTGTGCAGGGCTTGGCGGGACAGGGCGCCTGCGCCACTCCCGCCTCCCTCTTTTTCCTTTCACAGAGTGGCCACTTTTCTTTCCAGATTCTGGACCCTGCATCCAGTACATGGGCGAGCTTGGCCGTTAGCGTCTCTTCAGTCTTTTTCTTGGGAAACCTGAAGCAGACCCATCTAAAAATATGAAGCAAAGGTGGGGTAAATTGCTGAGTAGGGATCAAGACCCAGAGACTTTGACAGACACGCACTGTGATAGACATTGAAGTAAAGCCAGACACCGGGGGCTGTAGCTCAGTGGGAACATGTTTTTGTAGGGTGTACAAGGCCCTGGGGTCAGTGCCCAGCATGAAAAAACAAAGCACTGAGGAAAAGAACTATTAATAAGCTAACTACAGTGAGTCCTCGGCTAACGAACACTCGAGCTGTGAACTTTCAGATTCAAACTTAGCTCGAGTCGCAAACATTCCCAGACCTGAACAGATCGCAGAAGCAGCTCCTGTGCCTGCCAGACGCTGTCACAGTTGTGCTGCTGGGTGCTCACTGCACTGTGCAGTCAGGGACTTCTTGGTGTGTGTGTGTGTATTTGGCTTTTTTATGCTTCTCACTGCATATTTGCATCAAAGGTGCGTAAGAATCGCACCAACTCAGGAATGTCCCCTCCAGAAGGGTACTCGCTGGTTGGAAAGTCAGGACTTACTGCACCTGCTGGGGAAAAGAGCTCTAATTTCCTCCCTTGCTGGATGTTGTCACTGCCCTGTGGAAGGTTGCCTAGGCAAATGGGATCCTAGCTCTCCTCTGACCCCTTCAACAGAGAGCATCACAAAGGAGAAGAGACTTAACAGCCATAAAGGAGGAGAAAATGCTAAGGAAACTGTTTACATTTTCCATGAAAGGGATAGACCTTACAACCTGGCACTGCAAGAGGAACAAAGAGCAGGATAATAGCAAGAAGGGAAAACCTTGAGTTATTTTCAGGAAATACTTTGTGGATCTCAGAACAAAGCCGTAGAAAGTGTTTTCCTCAACTTAAGCACCTTCCCTACCTCTTTGTTTTTGTTTTAAGACAGAGTCTTGCTGTGTTGACCAAGCTGATCGCCAGCTCTTGCACTCAAATTATCCACCTACCTCAGCCTCCCAGTGCAGAACTAGCAGAACCTGCCAAGTGTCCGGCTTCCAGGCCCCAAGTTAACTGCTAAATATCCCTCGCCCTCACGGCATGGGCTGTCTCCCTAAGCGTCATTTTTCCTTATTTCAAGGGAGTGGGTTTAAAATACTACACAGTAGCAAAAGGAGCATCACAAACCAGCTGTGAGCCAAGGAACTAGTTGAACAGTGACACTTCGGTCTCCAGATGTCAGTCCAGTAATCCCCCTCCCCGCCTTCCCATCTAGAGTAGCCCAGATCATAGGAAGCATGTTTAAAGCCAAATCTAGGACTGTGCTCAGAAGTAAGACCCTAACCTCAGAGATCCACAGGTCTTTAAAATTCTCAGAAAGTGAAATTTCAAAAGGGCAGCTCGTGGGTTGGCCCAGGGAGAGGAGAGGAGGCTGCAGTGAGGAGTAGCCACTCCCAGAGGACCCACCCAGTGCCCACACACCTGGAGAGGCTGGTGCCCTCCCCTCCCAAGGCAAGAGTGGTATGGGGCGGGACTGTCTCCTGGGGGCCCGCCCGGGGCTTTGCTTGCAGGGCTTTTCCAGCTTATGGTCTGGCCCTGTGCTGGGAGGAGGAAGACCAGTGATCTCTCTGCTTGGCCCCAGGATAAGGCTCTGAAGTCCACAGCCTGGGAAGAGAAAGAGAAGCTGAGAAAATGTTGAATGGCTTTTCTCTGAGAAAGCAAAACTGCCCTGTAAGCCCCCACTGGCAGTTATGTCCCAACTTTATGTTTTTATCTTGAAGGAGCAAAGATTCTGCAACAATAGTGCTGGGGTCTGTGCAGGTCTTCCAGCCCTTGACTCTCCACACAGCTCTTCTGAAGTCAGTCTCTCATCCATGGACACCTGTATCACACCACCGTTTTTAAAAATCTTCTCAATACCATGTTAGATTAAAAACCTGGGTAGCTATTAAGCTCATTTTTGAAAACTAGAAATTATCCCTCAAAAATGAGAATCGTTGGCTGCATCGCTGGCTTTTATTCTGGTTTTGGATGGAGTTGTTAAGTAATACAACCGCTAGATATCCATGCATCCCAGCAGCCAGTTGCACCAGAAAAGTAAATGAGACACTTGCCAAGATGTGGAATTGCTGGGCTGCTCAAAATACCAGAGAAACAAGAAAATTCGGTTATGAGCTGTTTAGATTTAGAAATATGTGAACTAGAATATCTATGGGAAGAGCATTTAAAAACACAACTTGTTTAAAGACTGGTGATATTTTCTACAGAGGCATCTATCTTCATTCTAGTGAACACAAGGGAAGAATTAATTGCAGAACTATTGGAGAAAATTGCTAAGAGGTGGCATGTATACTGTATCTACCCAGTCCCCTGAACAAACGTAAATATTATGTATTGCAAACATGCACCAATAAAAGGGGAATACAGAAGCAAAGGAAGATAGAATAAATGTGCTGTATAGAAAGGATGTTAGTGAGTTCCAGCTAATGCTTCCGTACACATTGTGATGGCTAATCTTTGGTTTTCACTTGAATGGGTCAGCAGATGTCTAGACCCTGACCCCATTATGAGGCTGCATCTCATCCCGGGGTCACCCGTGGATGTGTTCGTGGCTGAAGCAGATACCAGGAGCTGGAGACGCAGAAGGGGCGGACAGTCACTGGCATGATGCCCCAGGAGGTGCATTGTTTCTCTGGCTCTTCCCCTCTACCTCTCCCGTGGTAGTTCTGCCTCAGAGCCAGTGCACTGAAACTGAGATACGAGCTGAAATAAACCTTTACTCTGTTGGTGTTCCTCAGATAGTTAGTCACAACAAGGAAAAAGCTAATGCAGAAAATTTGTACCAAGAGGGAAAAAACAAAATTTAAAAAACCAAAGGAGCTAAGACAGGTGACAGTAGGTGAGCAGCTCAGGATAAGAGGACGGCAGATGGTGACAAGGCTGCACTACTGAGAAAGTCAGGGTGGCCGTGGCCACCACATCATCGCCAAGGGACACTGGTGTTCCTGAATGCTGAGTAGTGATATGGTCAGTGGCACACAGATAGGAATAGCTCTGTCCGTTTCACTGAGTCTCGGATGGGGGTAACCACTTTTTCCAACACCTGCTTACTGGAGGAGGAAAGGTGCTTCGGGGAAGTAGTTGAATGAAGCCCAGGGTTGTGGAGACCGTGGTAAGAAGGCCCTTTTAAGCCAGGCACGTCTGGAAACCCCATTATTTCTGACAGTTCTCACTAAATTGTCCAGGCCAGTCCTGCACCCACCATCCTCCCACCTCAGCCTGCCAGACTCCTAGGGTCACAGGTGTGCACTCCCACACCTCGCAGCAAGTAAACTTTGGCAGCCCAGGCTACCAACACCTGAGGAGCATCTTACCCAGATCCCTGCTAATTACTAGTGAAGATTAATTAGCACGGGGATACTCAGCTCTGTGCCACATGCTCTGACAGAGACACGCGAAGAGGCAGTGTCTCCATTTGAGGAGTTTACACTTGCTTAAGAAGGAAAAGAGTATTCAAAGCAGCAATAGCCCCTGGAGCACACTGTCAGCAGCCAGGCTACACAGGAAAGGATATGCCACCGAAGGAGTTTAGAACAGACCTGTCACCAGGGCAGGCAACTGAAGGACATTTTACCAGCTAAAGAGCAGAGCAGAGAGGAAGTATCACAGCTGGGCTGGCGGGAAGAAAGGGCTGAGCAGGGGTCATGGGCACCAGAAGCTTCTGGTCCCCAGCAGACCACACAGATGATTAGGGACATTTACTTGTGTAGACTTGGGGGCTTGTCCCACAGAGACAGGATCCCCTGCCAGCACGTTCCCCGGAACATG